ATACTTAAAAAACTTAAATCTGGTTGCAACAATACTAAAACTAGTCCGAAGAGCTACCCTCTTCGGATGACTCAGTCTCCTGGTCATCAGTCTTCGACTTTTTGGCTCCAGCAATCCTCTCCAAAACGGAGAGGAATGACCTCTTTCTCTTGTCGTCCTTTCTGGCCTTTTTTTTTAAGAACTGTATAAGATTTTCATTTTGACGATCCTTCTTCTCCGCATCTTCCTTCAAAAACTTAAGAATTTCCAAATTATTTGGACTTCGTTTTGGCTGGGAACTTGTTTGCACCTTCAGGAAGGGCGACACCTCTGAAGCAGCATCTGACGGTCGTGGCTCTTCCTCGTCATCGGAAATCTTCTGACTGACGTCCTGAGAAGAGGAGGAGGCCAGAGAGTCCTGGAGATTTTTAGGAACGGCCTTTGCCTTGTCCTTTACTACAGCGTGAACCTCTTCAAAATAGGATGGCTTCTTCACTTGTCCTCCACCAGTATTGTTTGGTCCGGCTGCTGCAAGAACCTTCAAGGTTTCCCCCTCCATGTTCCTCCATTTTTGGGAGCAGACTTTGCCTGCGTCCCTGTCCCCAAAGAGATATCCTTTCTTCTTCATTTCATCAGCAAGCATCTCCCAGACTCTCTTCTTGGTTGTTTTTTTGTCTGCCATCAGTGCTTGATACTTTTCACTCCCATACAGCGAAATAAGATCATCCCTAGCTTGAACATCCAGTGGGGACGGTTTCCCACTGTTCTTTATCCAAATCTCACCAATCTCACTTGAACAGTCTTCTGAAGCTGCTGGAGCTTCAGCACCATCTTCATTATTGGCAAGAACATTTTGAATAATAGTTTTGGGCTTCGCCGCCAGGAAGCCCACAACTTTCGGTGAATGTTCCATCGGAACGTTGAGTGTGCGATTATCTGCAGAAAAGATACAGAATTAAAGGCTAGTACTGGAATGAATGAAAGTGAGACAAAGGACAAAGCCCCCTTAACTTCATAACCTACTATACTTACTTAAAGTATCATATATTATGAAAGTTCCCGGCACGTCCCCTGGTACAAGTGCACCTTCGGGTGTCATGCACAATTGGTGCTGATCTAAAGTTAAATTTACGTTCATTGTTATTACAAATTAACAATTAACTTTGTCCCGTCTCAGCTCCTTGCTCTTCTCTTCCCGCCACAGCGCCTACCACAAACACTCAAGACACCTCCGCCGAATGGTAGCGCGGTAGCTCCAACCACGCTACCGCGCTTGCGTCGATGACGTCACAAACACGAACGAAAAGACGAGCGGTAGCCCGTGGTAGGGGAACGAAAACACGCCTTCGGTGCTGCTGAATTTGAGAGAAACGGTCGCAGCGGGGAGCGGAGAGGGAGCGTGGCGTGGCGTCGCGGGGAAGTCGAGGGGGGGGGGGGCTTAGGAATAAATAATGAGCGCAGAACTAGGCGGCGCGGCGGCACTACTTTCTGCAGCACGCTGGCCACCGCTGCTGGGCCAGGTGAAAACAACACACACATACATACACACACACACACACAGTAGTGCACTGCCGCCGCGCCACAGTGGCGAGCCCACATTTCAGCCGGTATCAGCGATGCGTAATGTGGACGCGATGAGACAGCTGTATGCCAACAGGCCCGGCCCCTCCCCGGCGACCCGGCCCGGCCCGCGGCCCCCGGGGCCCCGGGGCCCCGGGGCGCAGATCAGATCCACGACACGATGACGGCGCCGCAGGCTCGCGTCTCCTTCCTCCTCCTCTCTCGCCGGATCCGGGGCTCATTTGTTTATTCCCTCGAGTCTTCACAATTTCTGTCCCGCCTTTTACGGGCATTCTCGCTCGTCCTTCGTTTTCTCAAACTCGCCCGCCCTAGGCCCTCCGTCGCCCCCTCGCCCCCTCTCCCCCTCTCCCTCGTCGCCCCCACCTCACCCCGCAGTGGACTGCACCGCCTACGCCGCCGCCTTTCCCTCGGCCGTCGCCTACTTTCCATGCTCAATATTCGGCTGTGCTCGGGCTGTGCCGTGGTTTGGGCGACATCTTCAGAAGAAAGCGGCGGCGGCGCTGGCCCCGGAGCCGGGCCAGGAGCGGGGCGGG